TCCTTCTGCACTGTTATTTCACCAATAAACATATGCTAGGTTGGGTGAAAGCTTATGATCGGCCCATTTATTCAAAGGAGTTTTTTCCAGAGTCTGCCCAGTCGAATCTAATATATTTAACATTCTGTTCTTACAGCAACCCTGTGAGATAAAACAGGTGGAAAGACCTGCCCTGAGTAGAATGAGATTCATGTCTGAGCAAGAATGAGTTTCCCCAGGTTTAGGCTGGTACTTGAATTGTCATACCACATTTGCTTTGTAACTTTATTCTCCCCTACTCCAAGTTCCTTGGAAACTAATGATAACATGTATTACCTGCTGTGTTAGATGTCCAACACCTGCTTCTGCTTATCACTTTTATCTTGTATTTTGATTTACATTTGAAATTTGTCACTCCTGGCAAGTAACACTTCCTTACTATAAGCCTGTTATTCCAAAAAAATATGTAATAATAACTAAGGCTGACAAGATAGTGTTGTGTCTAAGGCAATGAGCCCATATGTTCCTAGCGTGAGCACCACACGGACCTTCATACAAAAGAAAAATTGAGATAGCAAGATTTTGCTGTTGCTAGGATAAAAAAGTACAATTTTTATTCTCTGATTGCCAAAGAAATTGATTTCTGGATTAAAATACAATAGCTTTCCTCAGTTCTATGGAGGAGATAGCTATGAAATGTCATAACTGACTCTACCTCAGAAGACAGTCTGTCAGGGACAGAGGTTACAAGTTGTTCTATCCTTTTCACAAGCCTCTACTTGCATATATCATGCCATCAAGATCATCTTGATGGATGAATGTAGGTAGGTTTGTTGAAACTGCATTGTTTCACTTTGCTTGTAGATTTGCCTGTGTAAAGATTACTTTGGGATTTCTACTATAGGCTTGCTAAGTCCAGTTTAAAGTTTTACTTAAAATAGCAACATAAGCCATAACATACCTTATCTTTATAATTACATCAATCATTTGGTTTGGTCTGTAAATTCAGAATAGAATAATAATCAAAATATTCGTTTCCATGTGCATTGCATACATGAAAGGACATTTGTCAGATCTGAAATTCTATGAAGAATTTCCTCTCAGCTTCAAATGAGCCATTTTCACCAGACCGCAAAAGAAGAAGGAGAGTTTAAGATATCTCTGCCCCTGCATGGCAGTCCCAAGACAGGGCTGGGCAGCTATGGCAACCTTACGACCTTTGGACTTCATCTCACAGAATTCCTGAGCCAAACATGCTTAGGAATTCTGTTTGTTGAAGTTCACAGGTTGTAAAGTTGCCATATTGCTTACCCTAATCCAAGAATTGCTATTTGCAAATTTAACCATTTACATTTAGTGCAAGAGAAACATTGGAATCACGTATTTGAGGCCAGTAGGACTTTTTCCATGGATTAGTAGTTATAATGCTAATCCAGATGTGGGTTTTATTGTATCACTTACATGGAATTTTCAAGTTTATTCTTTCATTTCTAATTTTCCAGTGGTTCATTTCTAATTTTCATGGTTACAACTTTTCATCTCCTCTCTCTCTCTCTCTCCTCAATTAAAAAATTCAGAAGACAAATATATAGTTGCATTTCTATACTGATACATTCATATTCAATCTCTGCTCCAAAATCATAAATAGTTTTCATTAATATATCTGTTTTATCACACCAAGCAATCATGTCACCTAGTAAGTTTCTTTGACTAAGGGTAGGCTTGAACCTTGGTCTCCAATCCTAGTCCAACACCCTAACCATCACATCACACTGTCTCTTTATCTAAGTATGTTAGCTCTTGCTGTAATCATTCTGTTTGAGCATCTTAATCAGATCCATCCATTCCATGAGACTTTGTAAAGCATGGTACAAAACTCCTTGCTGTCCTATCTGGATGTTTTTCTGTAAATTCCTTTGCACAACTGCTTTTGAGGTAATCCCAAACTGTCATTTGCTATCCTTCTGTCTGAAGCCTATAGGGCAGAGATGGGGGAGGGGAGAGACTTTAAACTATGTCATCTCAAAATGAATACCCTACTCATTTAAGCTGTGGAGTTGCTAGGAATTAATGGCCCATAATCAATCAATTGATCAATCAACCAATCGCCCTACACTAGTTTTTTTCATGAGACCATATAGCTAGACAATTTTTAAAACATACTGAATCTAGCAAAGCTTGCCTAGAGAAGGTAAAGGGAACACCACAGAGAAAGACAGTGCACCAAATGAAATCTTAGATTCCACAGGAGGTGAAGATTCAAATAAATTGACTGGAAACAGATAATCTGTTTCTTTGCATTTGTCCCTGGATAGTTTTGCTGTTGGGTAGTATATTTGCTGTTATTGGGCTATCTACTTGATAGTTTTGTTTCTAATTCACTTTGGTAAATCATCTTCTTCGCCTATGTATCTGACTTTAACACTCCCTGTATTTTATTTATTTATTTATTTATTGAATTTGTATACCGCCCTATTCCTGAAGGATTCAGGGAGGTGAACAGCCAAATAAAATACATATAATACAAATGTTAAAAAACCATTAAAATACAATTAAATAATTGGCCCGGAAAACAAAATTTAAAACACCCCAAATTCATAAGACAAATTTAAAATTTAAAATTTTTTAAAGTTTTAAAAAACAGTTTAAAAGAGAGATTAGGCCAGGCCGGCCTGCTGGAAAAGAAATGTTTTGATGGTACAGCGGAAAGCATTCAGGTCCAGGATCCTCCGTATCTCTGGGGGAGCTCGTTCCAGATGGCGGGTGCCCCCACAGAGAAGGCTCTCTCCCTGGGGGCCGCCAGTTGACATTGTTTGGCCGACGGCACCCTGAGGAGCCCCTCTCTATGGGAGCGTACTGGTCGGTGAGAGGCTATTGGTGGCAGAAGGCAGTCTCGTAGATACCCCGGTCCTAAGCCATGGAGCTCTCTAAAGGTGGTAACCAAAACCTTGAAGTGCACCTGGAAGACCACCGGGAGCCAGTGCAGCTCGCGCAGGAGGGGGGGTCACATGGGAGCGCCCCGTCGCTCCCATAACCACCCGCGCGGCCGCATTCTGGACCAGCTGGAACCTCCGGGTGCTCCTCAAGGGGAGCCCCATGTAGAGAGCATTGCAGTAGTCCAGGCGGGAAGTGACGAGGGCATGAGTGACCGTATTTAACGAGTCCCAATCCAGAAAGGGACGCAACTGGCGAATCAGGTGAACCTGATAAAACGCCCTCCCGGCCACAGCTGTCAAGTGCTCTTTTAAAGACAGCTGTGAGTCCAGGAAGACCCCCAGGTTGCGAGACCTACCGTGGGGGCCAACGACTCGCCTCCAATAGTCAGTGATGGCACCAACTGACTATATCGGGATGTCGGAAACCACAGCCACTCGGTCTTGGATGGGTTGAGCCTGAGTCTGTTTCTCCCCATCCAGATCCGCACAGCCTCCAGGCACTGGGACATCACTTCAAGGGCATCATTGGGGTAGTCCAGGGTGGAAATGTACAGCTGGGTGTCATCAGTGTACTGGTGGTACTTCACCCCAAAACCACGGATGATCTCACCCAGCGGCTTCACATAGATGTTGAACAGAAGGGGCGAGAGGACCGACCCTTGTGGCACCCCACATACAAGGGGCCTCAGGGTCGACCTCTGCGCCCCTGCCAACACTGACTGCGACCGGTTGGAGAGGAAGGAGGAGAACCACCGCAACAAGGTGCCTCCCACCCTTAACTCTTCCAGCCGGTGCAGCATGATACCATGGTCGATGGTATCAAAAGCCGCTGAGAGGTCTAATAGGACCAGGACAGGGGAGCAACCCCTCCCACCCACAGTACTGATATAATATCCATCAACAGCACATGCTCTAACCCCCTCCTTGAGTCCCGCACCTCCCGTACCGCGCTCTTCAGCCGGACCAGGCCTCCTCCCACGCGGGTTCTCCCCCAAACCCACACAACCCACCCCCCCTCCCAGAGCCCTTTAAAATCCTATCTAAAAACTTCCCCAAAAACCCCCACAACCCCCTCTTCACACCATGCCACTATCAGTAGACTATCTCTACTGCATCTGAGCAGTAGGTTAGTTTAGGGAATCCATATGGCCACAATTCTGTTCCCCAGCATCTCGCATGCCTTCCTTCTAGCCATGCCTATGCAGAAAATTGGTTTAGAAGTGCTGCTCTTTTTCCCAAACCTCATCTAGTCCCCTTCACATGAGACTTTGTATTGATCAAATCTGCATCTGTAGCCATAACTTTGGGCAGAATAATTTTCTGGAACAACCCAAAAGTAGGTGATAAAAGCTGATATCACCGAGAATTGTTATATAAAGTACATACTCTTTTGGATGGTTGTAGCATGTCTCAAAACTGGGTGAAGTTCAAGTATACTCCTGTCCTAGAAAATTCCCTGGAGAATAAATTTTATTGAATACAGTGAAACTGATTTAGCGGTTGTAGTTCTTATTTCTACATTTTAGAAAAAGTAAAATTGAAGTGAGGTTTTACCTCTTAATAGCAATATAAAATGTGACAAAATGTTTAGCTGCATAAACCATCGTGGACCATCTCTAGAATGTAATGGGCTATTCTTGACTTTAAAAAAATACATTTTAAAAAAGAACAATGCTTAGCGCTGTTATAGATATCACATAGTTGGGTCCCTCTGAATTCAACATGAGTTACTCCCAGTTAAATAAATTGAGGGTTTCGTTTTTAACTCTCTTCTGGAACAGTGTTTCTTAAACATTTTTCTCTCAGGATCCCTTTCCATTTTTAAAAATGGAATATTTTAATCAGTATTTTCTATATTACAAATGAAACAAGACACATTCATTGCTGCTGTTTTTTTTTTTTCACATAAGCTGGAAAATAATTTTGATTTTGTAGATCCTAGGACACTTTAAGAAACATTGATCTAGAACAAGTCCCAAATCTTGTTTTCTTTTTGTAAAGTTTTCTGTCTCATAATGAGTTGCCAAGTAACTTTTTTTTTCCAAGTCTTTAATTCACTGTTTGAAAGAAGAGCAAAACTCAATGGACGTTTTATTTGTAACAGTTTATTATTTGCTCTCAGATAAAAACATTTCAAAAAACACTACACAAAATAAATCCATTGTGATTGTAAAGTGCATTTTTCAGTTGTGTAAAAAATATATTTAACAACATGCAAGGCATCCTGAAGCAAAAAAATGGACTATTCCTCATTACATTCATACAGGCAAGAAAAACACAAAAGTCCAAGAAGTTAGCTTTGAAATTTGGAAAGAAGACTGAAATAAAAGTGCATTTTTATAGCCATCCTGGGTATGCATTTCACACTGTCAAGTAATTTTTTTTTCTCTCTAGTCATATCACAATAAGCAAGAGCTGCTAAAGAAGCCAATTATTTGGATTCATGTGTGACTCAATAAGCCATGGCTTTACAAACCCGATGGCCATCCACAAAACAAAGCCAAATCAAGCAAACTTCTATGACTTTGTGCAGTGATGCACTAGTTATAATTAAAATTACTCATGTTTTAAAAATTCAATCAGAGGAACATTCAGATTATGAAACTCCGGTTTTGCACCTCTGGGTTCAGCAAATTGTGTCCTTGCCCCTTTGGCATGATGTTTGATACTTTGATCTACTTTCTTGGAAACCTTTAGGATAGTTTTACATACCATCAGAGGAAGCCATTACAGCCTAGCATAAGGCCTTTGGAAGGTTGAGTTATGGGATATAGAGAATACAGACTTTTGGACTGAAACAATTCAACTGGTGTATGTTCGATTTGTCCAGAGTTCTCCAGTTTAATATTGTTACTTGAGATGTTTCAGTCCTATATCAAATCCCTAGACAGGGTGGAAATATGAAGGATTAATAGAGGGATGGACCATGTGAGTAGGATCTAGATTTATAAACATGTGGCATGTTTCAAGGCTTACAGGAAGAAACCTTCTCTAAATAGGGCCACATATAGTCCTGATCAGAAGATTAAGGATAATGCATTTAAGTTTCCCCAGCTTGATTTTTTTCTACTGGCATGTTAATTCAACATGAAAGGCAGTTGTGAACAGCTGATTTGCAATTTTATTGAGGAGTTGCATGAAGGAACGGATTTTGCACATGACTTTGGGAGATTATTTCTTGAATATACACAAGGATTAAAACATTTCTTGTAGTCTATAGTAACCTTCCCACTTGCAATCCCAAACTTGTAATTTAAACTAATTTTCTACTTTCTAACTACAAATTTACACATTAGCCTTCTGTTTCTCAAGCCCTCCCAGACCCTCCAGACAACCATCCTATCATCTCCTGCAGCATCTGGAGGCCTTCAAGAAGAGAAAGCTTATGATACATATTTCTTTTGAACATATATACTGCTGTGTTCAGTGGCTTCACTTCCAAATGGTTTTTAACATCTTGCTATTTAAGTTAAAGCAGCAGTTAATGTGTGCATTTTATTACTGGTTGTTTCTTGGGGAAATAAAAAATAAATGATTTTTTCCCCATCACATAACTAACCAGAGGGTTCAGTTTCTCTTCACAGAAAGCATTAGTCAACACATCAGAGTGGCTCAGCCCCAAAATCCTTTTCCTCAGAATAAACCCCATTGCGAAAGAAGCCACGCTCTCACTTTTCAAATAGCAGTGGGAAAAGAGACCCATGGCACGTAGTAGAAGTCAAGTCCAGCTTTATCATAACAGGCTTGCAACTGCTGATCACACCATCTACAATTTTTGTTAAAAATTTTTTAAAGCAGCAATAACTAAGACCAATTGGGTATTTGTGCTGAAGTTTCTAATACACAGTTTCTAATGGGTCCAGTGCCAAGTCTTAATTCAAGTTGAAGGCATGCAAATGAAATGACAGGACTCATTATAGTTAAGGAAATGCTGAGAGTTAAGAAACAAGCTGTGGCATGTTGACAGACTTTCTCCATTTTTAACCACAAGCTAACATTCCAGGGCAAGGCTCTTGCATCATGCTAAGTAATCAAGCTTGGTCACTGCTGCTTTCCCAAAATTGCATAGGAGCCTGCATGAACTCCTTTCCAAATGAAGATTTTTTTCAGACAGAACAGGGAACATAAGAACTTCATCTGAATATTTAGATACTAAATCTAAAATTCTCAGTTCTATTTCACATTCAGCAAAACTATTTATGGGGCTACTTATTCAATCACCACCATTGATTGGGACCAGAACAACTGATTTGCTTTAAGGTTGAGTTATGAAACTCTAGTAAGTATATCTTTGAGCTTTCAAGTAATTTCACCATTTTGTTATAGATAACTACAAACAAGCACTGAAAAGAGTTAAATTTCTAGTCAGTTGGATTTATAATCCAAGGTGGAAAGTCTAAATGGCTTTCTTTAGTATTAAACAAGAACCAAAGAAGGATTGGCCCCAATAAATGATAAAACATGGGTGTCCCCTGTAGTTACTACAGTTTTTGCCAATAGGGGGAAATATTTCGGAAAAGAAAATAGTGATAAATTTATGAAGCTGAAGCAACATTTTGGATTGTTTTGCTCTGCCTGCAGGGAATGATTTACCGTTTTTGGTTAACCATCTTTCCCTCTCAACTTTACCAGAGTTCAGGAACCTAGGAAATTGATATTTCATTTCATACTACATATGCCCATTAACAAAGAAAAGATCAGGATATCTGTCAAAAGAAAGGGCAATCTAGCCCATTGCATAGTTCAGTCAGGAGAAACTGACAATAATTTGAACACTGATTTCATTATTAAAAGGACTCATGTTTGACACATAGTAATCACTGGAATTCATTCCTACTGGCTTTTAGTTTTTCTATAATAAAACTCCTGGATTCTTGAATGGCTGTTTAATTCACGCTGCCACAATGTTCTGCCCTCACTTCAGCTGCCATTGAAGGCCAACACCAGAAGATCCCCTACTCAGAGAGACTGCCCCTGTGAATCTGGACACACAGAAACAACAGAGCACATACTCCTCCAGTGTCTCTACTACAGAGACATTCCCACTAGGCTCATCTTGCCATCATTGCATAAATACCCAGGGCATAGAGGACAATCCTACATCTTCCTACTTCTTTCAGATATTAACTCTGCTAAAACATTTGTTGTTTTTATGCATATACTTCGTTTTATGTCTTTCAGCTTCATATAGTAATTATTTTTTTAGACTTTGGTGTGTTTTCTATGGACTGGAGCCCACTTTCTTTATGCAGTAATAAACAATTGATTTATTAATTGGTTCTAGTCCAGCCTACTGTTGAAAGCCTGATACCAAGTATTAATAACTCTAGAGAGATCAAGCATTCTTGTGTCTGACTTCAAAATGTCTGTTCTACCACTGAGTTAAATTACTTCTGAGCATAAGCGTTGAGGACAACCGACAACTCGACTGAGTGGGTATCCATTATTTGACATGATATCTTATTTATGTCAGTAACATTCAATTTATAGGCATTTTATAAAATTCATGAAACAAAATGAAATTTTAAAATGTTCTTCACCCAGATGACTTAAGCCCAGCAGGCCCCAACAAAATTAAATGTAAATAAGATGGTGTCATGAGGAGTTAAGACTTAAAAACAATTTTATTCTTAACAGTCCATCACCACTTAATAAAGGAGGGAGGAGGGAGATAAATAAAACCATCTAAATAAAATTATTACTTATTGTGGAAGCTAAAATGCTCCATCAGCCTTCTCCAGGCCACTGACTGTTCCGCCTGGAGATCATAGGAACTAAAGTCTGGCACACCCTGAGGGCACCAGGTTGGTTAAGGGTGGATTATGTGACTAGGCTACATAGGGCTTGTCTGGTTTAGCCACTGAAAGAAATGTACATATGTGTTTAGGAAAAGAGATACAGGCAGAATGGTGAGTAAGCATTTTGGAATCTTCCCAGAAACAAGGCAATTCCTAAAATGGAAGGAAGCAAAGGATCATTTGAGCTAAAATTACAGTCTTTTCCATTTGGGACTCTCAGCCTCTCACAGATTGTACAATCTGATTAAGAGAGGAGGAGGAAGACCGCTTAGCTCATCCCTGCATCTTGTTTTTTCTCAGAAAGTTGGTTTTATCAGAAAGGTGCATAGCAAGTTTGATTCCAGAATACAGAAAAAAAAGGGGGGGGGATCTGTTCTTGCACAGCTCACAATACTGTAATGTATCTCAAAAGCCCAGAAACCAAATTGCCCAAACGACAGCACCAAGTGCTGAATTCGATCTGTGGCAGCCATGTCACAGGAGACCATCTCCTTTTGTTTAAATTCAAAGGAACATGAAGACAGCATCTGCCCTAAAAACCTTTGCAGCCAGGAATTTTCACGTTTCTCTTTGTTTCCATTCTGTTAATACAAACTTCAGTTCTTTTGCCTACTCTGACTCTGCAGCCACCTTCCCAAGAGGGTTTTCTATCTCTGTTTCTTCATTCTTGTGCAGTAAATATAATCCCGAGGCTCTGATTTAGTAATAAGGGCCAAGTTTTTCATATCCGGAATAGCTAGGCCATTCAGGAAATAAACCATAAGAACACCGGGGGCTTCCAAACTGATCAAAGGCAATCCCAAAATCTGGCTCACTACAAGGCTGCGAAATCTCTCGAGCCGATTTGAGTTCAGAGCGTATGATCCTGTAATTGAACCCCTTGTTGCTATCCCAGTAGACTTTGCCATCACATTCATAACACACTGCAAACTCGATTCTTTCATGGGCTTGAACCCGCTCTGGCAAGCTAACATCAAAGGAGAATGTATCCTTATCAGAACTGGCATAGGTGTCCTTCACGTATTGGCATGGGTGATCCGTGAAGGTTTTCCAAGTATCAAAGGTCATCCGAATCTTGACGGCCTTCTCAAATGCCAGATTCCTGACTTTCACTGTACCCACAATAGCTTTATCTTTCAACATGCAGTTCTCAAGACAAACACAGTCTGCCTGGAGGCGATTCCGGAAGTCCAAGTAATCTGCAGAAGGCTGTACGAAATCCAAGACAAAGTCATCATGATCCACCGTGGTCAGGCCCACAATGTTGTCTATCAGTTCTGTGATGTTCAAGGGAATATCCAAGGGGTCATCAAATTCTGAGAACACTTTCACCACTGTCAGAGCCAAGCCCCGGCTGTCTGCAAAAGAAACCCTTTTCTTCGCCCTGTTCCCCTGAAGAGCTTGGACCTCTGACCCCAGCTCGTTCAGCATGGGGCTGCTGTTTACATGGATGCAGGGTCGCAAAGGCGACTTGATCTTTGGGGCTATTTTGTAGGCAAAGCTCTCTTTCCGCAAAGAGGGCGCTCGCAGGTAAAGTTGCATAGCTACATCCACTGCCATTCTGGGCTTTTGAGGAAAAGAGTCCAAGATTCTGGAGGAGGAGATAAATAAAAAGTAAAATTAGAGAAACACATTAAAGAGTTACAAAGCCACATAGCAGGCCGCAGTCAGTCCCAATTCTCTGATTATTATTATTATTATTATTATTATTATTATTATTATTATTATTATTATTATTATTAATATTATTTTATTTCTATACCGCCCTTCTCCCGAAGGACTCAGGGCAGTGTACAGCCAATTTAAAAACACAAAACACAACAATGATTAAAAATTAAAATAATTAAATAGATTTGGCCGGTTTAAAACCCCAAAAATTTAAAATACCCCAATTTAAAATTATTATATTGATAGCCCGGCCTGGCGGAACAACAGGGTCTTCAGTGCGCAGCGAAACACCCGGAGGTCGGTGATCTTACGTATTTCCGTAAGTGTACCTCTGGATAACATGTTTTAGCAAAGCCTGCTCATTTTCAAGCTTTGTATTTTTAGTTATCTCATCAAATATATACTGGACTCTTGCGGGGTATATAAAACTCACAGCCTTACTCTTGCTTAACATCCTTGATAAAGGCAATCAGATACAGGTCAGAAGTACAACAAGAAATGTGGACGTGTAACTCAAATTTTTAGCGTTTGGCAGCAAAACAGTTGGATTTACAAGTTGATATGTCTTCCCTGATCTAGTAACCAAATGGCATATTCACATTTTCAAAAATAGGAATTCCTCCATGGAGAAAGTGTATGAACCAAGTTGTGGCAGATTTCAACAGAAGATGCAACTAGTAGATGAAAACCGTGTTTCATATCATTTCACAAAGACCCCCAAGCAAATCTCCCCAAACAAAGACCCAGAGTTCAAATTTCTACTTGATCATGGCATTCTCATATGTCCTTTCATATCACGGAACCACACCTTCCCCAACATTAGAATACTAAATCCGCCTCAGATACTCTACTGAAAAAACATCTATCTTTCTTCTATCAAAAGGCAACATAAATGGCACAATAGTTTACCACACACTCACCCTGTAACCCAGAAAGAGTTTGGTCGAAACTGCATTCCAGTCTGGAGCATTCTGAACGGTTAGGTATTCAAAACCAGCAGAGCAATAAAGCATGGACAGGCTTGGAGAGCCGAGTAAAACACAACTGCCAGAGGCTATGGCTTGCGTTTCTTTCACAGCAAGTTCTCCATTTCTCTAAGTATTGGGAACATTTCTTTCAGTGTGTAGAAACAGGAAACAAAATAGACTGCAGCAAGAAAGAGCTGCCCCGACTTCTTAACTGGAGCGGAAGCCACAGCAGACCTGTGACTTCACAGATTTACAGTTCAACAATATTGAGACATTTCAGGAATTTGCATCGATGTAACTATGTCAATGAATTTGAGTCACAGTACATCCAAATTCACTTCCGTAAAGCCTTGCCAGGATCCAGGCACAAACACGAAAAAGGATTATATTAATAATATAAAGAAATACTGCCTACAAGAAAACTACCTAATTCCTTCCTACTTGCTAGATTTCTTGCAGTTTTGAATATTACATAGATTCGGAAACAGGTGGCCTCAAATTACATGGAATGAATGAATGATCTTTCAGTATTTGTCCAAGGTTCACTTTTGAGTTAACTACAGCTTAGAGCAGTCATTAACATGCAAAATAGCAAAATCTAATCTACAAAAATTGCAGAATATATTTACGTAAGTAGGCAAATTATATTTTACACTGCAAGCCAGTCTACATTAGACACCATATTAGTCTCCCCCAATCCTGACAAGTTCCAGTCTCTATGGAAAGTCAGTTTACAAAAATACAAATAAATTGGCCTCAGAAAAGAGTTTCCAATAGTATCAAAAGCTTTAAAAGAAAAGGGGCAGTTCAAGTTAGTGCCAACCAGATGTTTTGAATTACAGTTCCCATAATTCCTTGCCTGAGCTGTGAGAAATTTAACAGCTAAGGTATATTAGTTTGGCTACCTTGAATTAGACACTGAACCTGGACTGGAAATAAGATTTTTAAAATTACTACATAGGTTGTCTCCTATGAGTCAGAACTGAAGAAGCTTCTTGGATGATAAATGAAACATTTTCAAGGAAAAAAAAACCACAATGAATTCCAGTTGCCTTTTGGAAAAGCACCTTTGGGACAACCATGACCTGGATGACTGAGAATTTTCATGTATATCATCTGTAATTGCTTGGAAAGAAGATGAAATATAAATGTAATAAGTCAGTAATAATTATACTATGAAGCTTGGAACGCATGTATAATTGTTACACAAGCCACAGAAGCTTCACAATTGATTGGGAATGTATAACTTATTTGTTGGCATTAAGAACTATACCATCAATTTAGAATTTATAACAACAAAATTCAAAACCCAGGCAAACCACCCCTCCAAACCCCAAGAGGTTACAATTTTTTCCAAACAATTTCAAATGAACAAATAAGTATCACAGTGACTATGAATTCTAAGAACTAAGAATTCATGCAACAAATTTTTATTCCAGTTTTTAATTCAAAATTGCTGAAATTTTTGTAGAACATTTTGCAAATACCGTGTTTCCCCGAAAATAAGACCCTGTCTTATATTTTTTTGAACCCTGAAATAAGCGCTTGGCCTTATTTTTGGGGAGGCCTTATTATTTTGGGGCACATGGAGGAAATGGCGGAGATTGGCTGCGCATGCGTTTAAATATTTCGGGGAGGGCTTATTTTCAGGGGAGGGCTTATTTTAGCGCATGTGCTCAAAAGCCTGATTGGGTTTATTATCAAGGGATGTCTTATTTTCAGGGAAACAGGGTAGGAAGCTTTCATCATCGATGAAACTTTGAATCATGCACACACAGGATCCGCCAACAGATAAAACTGCATATGCCAAATTCCAAAACTTCTTTTATTAATGTCTGCTGTCCTCAGCTGTGTAGAACAGGCATCTTAAAACCCCTGGCTTTCTCTCAGGTTCTTAGGGAATCAAAGCAAGAGATGCCTCCTTCTGTATGTTTGGAAATGGTTGCCTAAACAAACTATATTCTTGGACACATTGCTGTTTCCAAGAAATTTTAAAGGCTTTTCGCCATGAAGATCATTAATAGTGGATAAGGTTGCAAGATATGCAGTACAAAATCCATAGGAGGAGTTTACCAGACATTTTCTCTAACATATTTGTACAGCAATCGTGAGAAAGTGTAATACTTCCTCTGTTTGATCTTTATGAAACAGCCCAAGTTTTTCATAACTCACCAAAAACATTCAGTATATAATTTTTGCCCAGTTGAAAATCATATTGTCAACCATTTTAATTTGTTTAGAAAAGCCACCAGCTACTTGACGTTAGGAACCATAGATAAAAATTGATTTCTTGTTTGATAAGAAGGCAATAATTTCTGGTGAGATAAAAGCCTGAAGGCTATTGCATTTGGAATCCAGTTTAACAGATCTGCCAGTGGCATTCAGAGAAAGTGAAAGCAGAAAGTTGTAAAGAAATAGAATTTTGGTAACGTAGTAACTTTCTCTACCATATAATTATCCACCTTCAAGCTAAACCAGAGTAGCAAACATTTTTGAAATAATTTCCTGATATGCTTCATTTTATACTGGAGCCTGCTTACAAGTCTTGGTGAGTTTTTGCTACTATGAGTCCCCAGAAGACTTGTTCCGATTCATACATTCAAAGATCAAATTACCTTTAATTACTCTTACTAAAACAGAAACAAAAACCACCACTTTAAATGTCACAACAAGTAAGACTTCCAACAGCAAGCTAATAAGATCCAATTTCAAAGTAGGATCACCAGGTCCAATAATTGGAAACTGACCAAATCCGTATTTTCCACAGAATCTGTTTTGCAACAGAAGGAGCAGGTTTGTGGAAAAATAGGGATAGTTTAAAAAGACCACACTTCTTTAAAAGTATCCCTGTAGGTTAAGTCTATTTATGAGATGTAGCAGCCTAAAGCCAGCTAAATTATATTTGGGATTTTTGAAGGAGCTAGACATAAATGGTGGCTCAATTACTTCTTCAGAGGGGTAGGGATTGAAGGGTCCATAGTGGACTTCATCATTACAACCTGCTTTTGTGTTGAAGTCCCTACCTACTAGAATATATGCATTGGGAAATTCATTCAGGCAAACATTAAGGAAGATATCAACCTGTTGCCAGGTTTGGGTTACCTGTAACTAGAGCTGCTGAGGGGGAAGATAGAAATTAAGGCACAGTAAGGATACTTGTGCAGGGGCAAATGGAAAGGATTGAGAATTCCCCCAACATCCATGTCTCAAAATGATTATATCAAATTTGTATAGGAATCCAAGAAAATCTGGCTCTGCTTCTTTTGAGGCCTACCCAGCTATGTTCCAACAGAGGACAGAGAGATCCAACCTTTCAGATGCCAGGGACCAGCTCCACGCAGGGTGGTTTTTCCGTGGACCGGGGGTGAGGCATGGTTTCATGTGCTGTCTGGATATCGCGCATGCATGGATGGGGCTTCATTTGCTTGCACGACCCGGTTCCTAACAGGACATGGACTGGTGCCAATCCGCAGCCCAGAGACTGAGAACCCAATTAACAGGATATAGTAGTCAATTTGCTGGTTCTCTCAGAGTGCTGTCTCTGGATAATTGTTCAGGAGGTGCAACGCTTGGTATGAGTAAGTTGGTGACTGAAGGAAAAGATGGAGAGCAGACCTCTTGCTGCCAGTAAGGGTGGCTAGTACCCTGGAGGCAATTCCACAGTGCAAGTTGTATGGGTAGAACAAGTAAGGCCAGATTGAGGATTGAAATCAGGGGATTGGTCATGTTCAGGGCTCTTATGGAAGGAGTATCCTTAATCTAACCTCTGAGACTTTTTCAAAGCCAAAAGCCTATATATCAATAGCTATGAAGAAATATATAAGTAGAATTTAATGCTACTTATATGAATATTACATACATTTCTGAAACCAAAGCAACTAGCAACAAAGCAAAATCCGACAAAGCAAAGCAGATGGTGGTGGTGATGATGATGATGATAACTCATTGTCAACAG